TTTATTTATTTATCATCATCAAAAGAAAGCATGTGGGTACTTTACACACAGCTGAATATACGTCATTCCCTAAAATACAGTCGACAGACCAGTTGCCAACTGACACACGGAAATCGAACTCGCCCTCTTCTGATCATGCTTAGGGAGTGGTCGTTAATGACATCATGACAGCGTCAACTTAGTACTGTACTTGTTTCTGTTTAAGCCTTCGAATTTCGGGGGGGAAATTATTTCATTTGCAAGTCAAACACGGCGCAGTGAGCAGACTATCTGGCGCTTCAAAACAGCTTGAAACACGCAAAACAGAAATCGCTTTCATTAGCAGTGAGAAATACAATAATAACGGTGTTCGAGAAATGAGTATTATGCTAATCGAGCTCCAAATCGGCTGGGAATGAAATTGGCACTCCGCCAAAAACCAACATCGTCAACTTGTCGGTACTGCAAGTAACAAAGCGTCGAGGCGTTCACTGAGCTGCGTTCATTCACACATTCCCATTTCAGAGTTCGAAAACAGTACTGAGTTCATGGAATTGGGGATTTGCGTCTTCGTGGAATAAAGTACAGTACAACAAATACATTTATTTTTGGGTAGTCGACTACGGGGTTTTCCCTGCTACCAAATAAGTTTACGTGTATATTGTTCAACTTAAAGTCAATGTACTGTTGGTTACCTGGTAACTGTTCATCGTATTGTACGTCATACGCTGAAATTACACATTACATTGCTCAGAAAGACTGATCATGTTTTTAGTTCGAAATATTCAAATAAAACCCTCAGGCAAAAGTATCGGTCCTCGAGTTTTATATCACGTCACGGTTTGGTAAGTTATCGACACGGTCGACCTTATCCTTGTCCATTGGACAAGCATACCTGTTTATACCTCCATGATTGGATTCACATGCATTTTATTAAACGTGTGTTAATCTACGCATGGAGGTATACCACCATGCTCTACGATAACACTTGTACGCCATTTCGCAATGCGACTCACTGCGAATGCTCTGCGCCCGGCGGTCAGTGCCCTTTATCAACTTTGAATTCGTTTGAGGATGTAACTATTGACATAGTCTCACAATAAATGTAAAATAAACCCTTGAACCGTCGACTGTATGAGAGGCCATACACCTGGCCCTGATACGCCAGTTTGACACATTATTACTGTATGCCCATATGATAAACGTATATAGTAGGTAACTTTAAAAAAAAAACACGCTACAGAGAGTTTGGCTTGGCGACCTTCATTTATAACCGATACCAGATCGTTTGGCGACAATATGTGTATATGACAGCGAGAAATTCATCATATTAGATTCATTACTATGATGACGCACAGTCACTCTATCACTAAAATGGACATGATTTATACCACTAGCAAAGTTTCTAAATAAAGCTAAATAGAAATCAAGTATATGAAAACTATCACCTCCACAGTGGGAGAATCATGTAATTGACATTATTTTTTTTCCAATTCAGCTTTTAACATCTCTTAATTATATATCACAGTTTAGTTTATTTAACTGCTTCTCTTGATTATTTCATAAGGATTGTCAAAGAAAAGAAATGTATTGAAAAAAATGTCTTGAACGAAACAAAGTACGTTTCAAAATGGGTGCGTTGGCACCGTTGTTGGAATGATCATCCCCTGTACTAAACTATTTTTGTAATGTTTTGTATGTCGTGTCTGTGACGTTTTCACTGTTATGTGAACATTGTAATTATTATTAGAAAATAAGTTTATTTAACTGCTGTATTTTTTGTGATTTGTATTTTTATTATTTTGTTTTATTTACCATACTGCGCCCTCTCAGGCTGATGGTATAGTAGTGTAATAAATTTATTATTATTATTATTATTATTATTATCACGTGATAGACAGAATTCAGTCATGATGGCGTATTGAAGGCGAACACGGCTCGAACTGAACGCGTTTAGTGTACGGTAACTTGTACTAACTCGGACCGGCTCGGACCAGTTGGGCTCCGATAAAATTCTTCCGTGTTCACAAGGTTAACGACTGTCACCCACAGTTCAGGTACGCCGATTTATAGTGGTTATAGAGGCCATAAAAATACATTGACTGTGATTTCTATTCGGTGACTATACACTGTTTTACGATACTCTAACAATCAGGTAATATAAACACTATGAAGCCTATGACTGCTCATGTGATACTAACCGTTTAGTCGCTGCACTACTGTGACTTAGCCTCGGCTACCCGATGGACGCCAGGTGAACCTCTTGCAGTGTCCCCGGGATATCACATATACCGCTGAGATCATTATAACAAACGGGAACGGCAGCCATCATATATGCGCGGAAATGGGGTGGGAATTTACTCTTAAATGGACAATACGCTGTAGACCAATTGTCAAACAAACCACAGTTAAACGGAATTACTACAAACACAGACCAACATGTAGCAAAGGCCAAAGGTCAAGCTCAACAAACCGCCTTATTTTGAGCGTTATGGGAATATCAAATTGAAAAGGAGTATCAAAAGGGCTGTGAAGTAGATGACATACGTCCTTTTTGCCTGGCGTCATTTCGCCTCTAGGGGCGCTGAGTGATAACGTCACTAATGCACATCATGAAATAAAAAAAAAATCGAAGAGCACAACTAGCTTTATTTTATTCAAACCCGTTCCGACATTTGTTAGCAACTTCGGTGCTAAAAATGGTTAAAAATGTGGGTGTGGTTCTCTCGCAAAATACTGTACGATATGGACATACTAGTATATGGTTATGTGACCCAGGTCGTGCTTCGATCACGTGATTTTCAGCCAATTAATCATGTTGTAACAAAGAGTACTATTATTTGAAGCAAATTGAAAGGTTATCACACCATCCAATCACCGGTGTCAATTCACGTACTTTTGTTCTTATGCTTCGACAGGATTCATAATTATTCACTCGAGCAACATCGGTATATTTTGACGAAGATATATGGGCATACAGTAATAGTTCAAAAAGAAAAAACTAGGCTGAGATACATTAGGGAACACTGCGAATAAGCTTTCTGTGCAATTGAGAAAATAGGGTAAACAGGACTAGGGTACTGATTTTCAGTACCGAAGGTCTTCTCGGAATCATGAATTTCCAACTGTTCATCCACCGGTCGCCAAATATTTACGACAACAACTAAATTTCGATTTGTTCAGAGCATGTGGCCCGTTTTTACTGTCACAGAGGAGCTTGTTTGTAAGAAAACTCAGCCACTGATCGTGACTCAATTTTGATGTCAAATTTTGCCGGAACGACATCACTTTGGCATCGTTATATTTTGAATAAAAACCACATCAACATTTTTTCGTAACTGTCACGATAATCATTTCTGAAAGGAGTGAGCGGTCCTAGATATAAACGGAACACAGTCAACTCATATTACACATGTATGCTAAATTCACATACTAGATTAAACTAATTTTCTTTTCAACTGTTTGTTTCTCCTACTTTGTCCACAGTAACACTTCCATCCCAATTCCATAAAATAAAATATTATATTTCATTAAATATTTCATAAAATCAGAACAGGTACCTAAATAAGCACTCACGTAACAAGAAGTCACAGTTCAAAATGCGTTCGCGAACGATAGTACAAAGTGGCATAAATGTGAATTGACGTACTAGAATGTTTCAACTTTAAAATTATCAGCAAACAAGGTCTTTAATATTAGCACTTATATGAAATTGACGTACTAGAATGAATGGGTTCAATTATCAGTGTGCACTGATGACGTCATTGAATGGCCCTCTAGACGCTCCACAGCCCGTTTTATGATATTCAATATTTAGGGCATTTT